CTTGAATTTTTTTCGGAATAGTCAGAGGAGGATAGGTTTTAGTTCTTCCTTGAATGTTTGGTAAAACTCCCCTGTGAAGCCATCTAGCCCCCGGCTTTTGTTTGCTGGAAGCTTCTTGTTTACTGCTTCATTTTCTTCTATAGTTATTGGCTTATTGAGATTTTTAGATTCTTCCTGATTGAATTTTGGAAGGTTGTATTTTTCTAGGAATATGTCATTTCCTCCAGGTTTGTTGGAATAGAGTTGTTCATAGTATTTTTTAATAATCCTTTGTATTTCTGTGGGGTTTGTTGTTATTTCTCCTCTTTCATTTCTGATTTTGTTCATTTGGGTCCTCTCTCTTTACTTCTTGGTGAGCCTGGCTAGAGATTCAATCTTATTTATCCTTTCAAAGAACCAGCTCTTGGTTTTGTTGATATTTTGTATTGTTTTTTTGGTCTCTATGTCGTTTATCTCAGCTCTGATCTTTATTATTTCCTTGTTTCTGCTTACACTGGGATTTTCTTGTTGCTCTCTTTCTAACTCTTTGAGTTGTAGGGTTAGGTAATTTATTACCATTGTTTCTTGTTTTTTGCTGTAGGCTTGTAGTGCTATGAACTTCACTCTCAAGACTGCTTTTGCTGTGTCCCATAGGTTTTGGATTGTTCTGTTTTAATTGTCATTTGTTGCCATGATGGTTTTTACTTCTTCTTTGATCTTTCTGATAACCCAGTCATTGTTTAATAGCATGCTATTTAGTCTCCATGTGTTTGATTTTTTTGGATTTTTTTTAATTGTAGTTGATTTCCAGTTGTTTGCCATTGTGACCTGAGAAGATGCTTGATATGATTTGTATCTTCTTGAATTTGAAGAGTCTTTGCCATTCTCAAAGATATATGGTCTTTGAGAATGAACCATGTGCACTTGAGAAGAATGTATATTCTGTGGCTTTGGGGTGAAATGTTCTGAAAATTTCAATTAATTCCATCTGATCTAGTGAATTATTTAGGATTGATGTTTCTTTGCTGATTTTATGTTTAGAGGATTTGTTCAATGGTGATAGTGGGGTATTTAGTCCACTACTATGATTTTATTGCTGTCAATCTCTCCCTTGATATCCTCCAGAAGTTTTTTTATGTATTTGGATGCTCCTATATTGGGTGCATATATGTTTACCAGAGTTATTTCTTCTTGGATTGTTCCCTTTAGTATTAAGAAGTGGCCTTCCTTATCTCTATTTATGTTCTTCACTTTGAGATCTAATTTGTCAGATATAAGTATTGCTACCCCAGCTTTCTTTTCATTTCCATTCGTTTGAAAACCCTTTTTCCATCCCTTAACCATCAGGCTGTATGCATCTTTTTTTCTGAGGTGGGTTTCCTATAGACAGCAGATAAATGGGTCATGTTTTCTTATCCACTCAGTTACCCTATGTCTTTTGATTGGGGAATTTAATCCATTTACATTTAAAGTTATTATTGAAAGGTATTTGTTTGTCACCATTTTTATTCTTTACCCCTGTGTTCCTTCTTCGTTTCCTCTTTTTTCTTTTTACAGCAGACCCTTTAGCATTTATTGCATTGCTGGTTTAGGGGTAATAAACTCCCTTAGTCCCTTTTTGTCTGTGAAGCTCCTAATTTCACCCTCATTTTTTATTGATAGCCTTGTTGGGTACAGTATTCTTGGATTCAGACCCTTGCTTTGCATTACTTTGTATATTTTATTCCATTCCCTTCTGGCCTGATGTGTTTCTGTTGAGAAATCAGTCATTAGTCTGATGGGGGATCCTTTGTAGGTAACTTTCTGTCTCTCTCTGGCCACTTTTAAGATACTTACTTTGTCGTTGGTGTTTGCCAATTTAATTATAATGTGCCTTGGCATCGGTCTTTTGGGGTTCATTTTGTTTGAGACTCTGTGAGCTGCTTGGATTTGTGTGAGTTTTTTCTTCCCTGTATCAGAGAAGTTTTCTGTCATTATTTCTTCAAACAGGTTTTCTATTCCTTGCTCAGTTTCCTCTCCTTCTGGCACCTCTATTATGCGGATGTTTCCTTTCGTGTTGTCCCAAATTTCTCTTAGGCTCTCCTCCTGCTTTTTAATTTTTTTTCTAGAAGCTGCTCTGCTTGGGTATTTTTTCATACCTTGTCTTCTAGCTCACTGATGCAGTCCTCTGCTTCTTCCAGTCTACTGTTAATGCTTTCTATTGAGTTCTTTATAGCAGTGATGTCATTTTTCATTTCTTCTTGGTTCTTCTTCACTTCCTCTTGGTTCTTACACATATTATTGAATTTGTCTTCCATTCTTTTCATCCACCTTATGACCATTTCTCTGAATTTTTTCTCTGACAGGTTGCTTGCCTCCATTTCATTTACTTCCTTTTCTGGTGATGCCTGTTTTTCTTTCATATGCAGGCTGTTTCTTTGTCTCCCCATGATCTCTCTTCCTCGGGTGTCTGGTTATGTTGTTCTCTCTCTACTGCATTGATTTAAAGGCACAAAATACAACAGAACAAGGCACAATGCACAAGCACTGAACACAAATATATTCATGATACTAATAAACCCAAATAAAGGTGACCACCAGAGAAAAGAGAATTAGGGGATAAGAAAGAAAGAAGAATAGAGAAAAAGGAAAAAGGGAAAAATAGGAGTGCAAAAATGAAATTGGGAAAAGGAAAAAAAAAGTAAGAGAGAAAAGAAAGAGAATAAAATAGTAGAGGGGAAAAACTATTTATATGGGGAGAAAACTCCAATAGAACATCCACTAATCCCAACAAATGCTGGCAACAGATACCTAGAGATGAATGCCAACTATAAACAACAACTAATACCAAGTGAGGCAAG